TTAACATATATTTACGTTATTTTATTAGAAATATCGTTTCTCAATTTTAACTTTCAAAGGCTTCTCAGTAGATAATATCGTTCTAAACTTCAATTTTATTTCATCTATCTCAACGCTTTTATTTACTTTGAATACGAATGTTCGTACCAACGTTGCTAAGATAACTTTCATAGACATCATTGCGTATTTCATACCTGCAAATTTACAATTATATACATATATATAAATTAATTTGACTATAATACTTTGTAATTTATTTAAAATTACCTATGCAATTTCTTGGTCCGTCACTAAAAGGTATGTAATAATACGATTGACTTTTTGTTCTTTCTGGAAGAAATCTGTCTGGATCAAACTTTAATGGGTTCGGCCAATATTTTTTGTTTCGGTGCATCTTAAAAATTGGTATTACAATATTTGTGCCTTTTGGTAAAGTAACTTCTCCTAAAATGTGTACCTTTTACTACTAAAATAGTATTACAACAAAAACATAATAACGTTAAATAATACAAACCAAAATTTATTATAAAATGGATATGTACATACAACTGACAAAGCAAAATTGCATACAGGAAATTAAAATTGCATTATTTTATTACACTTTAGTAAATCGTAGTAAAATAAAAGAATAATGTCATCTTTTTCTATAACTTTTAAAACATTAATATAGGGTAACTCCGATATTTACGCCGCGCGAGGATTTACGCCGCAGAAGTCAGAAAAAATAGAAGGAATAAAGATACTTGCTCGCAATCACACTGTTATGTGCCTTTATGCTACAATATATTAGCATTGTATTGTAATTTCAGTTCTTTACTGTTAATATTAACGAAACCGTCGTGAGTTGAATCAATTTCTTACCGTAGTAAGTAATGTGATCATATATTACGACTACGTAAAATGATTACTGTAGGGAATGTAAAAGGTTTAATGGTTATTTCATGAGACATAAGTGTAGAGGAATAGTAAATGATGGAATACAGCAAAAAAATACAAATGCATAGCTCTTGTATTTTTTGTTTAGCTTGATATCTTGTATATCTCTCCTGTTTAGGATATATACAGCATTTTTAGCATGCGGGATTTATGCCATAGTACAGACACTTTGTAAAACTCGAAATCTCCTATGTGTTCTTTTTTCTCTTTTTTTTTTTTTAATCGTATAACAATAATCTTTAATGCATTTATCGCTTTTCTATTTTCTTTTTAAAATTTTTTAGTTTTATAATTTGTTTATTACTCTTACATTTTAATAAACTTTTTACACACATTTTATAACTTATTATGACATTTTATTGCTTTATTTATAAATATTATTTGTAATTTTTTGTAAGGCGTATATTCCACCTATAAATGTCATATATCCCGTTCCTTTGAATATATGGCAAAAATACAAGGGTTTCTAAAAGATTTTTTTGTTAGATACAAGGAATAAATATTTCTATTTCTAATTTTTTTATAGTAGTAGACAATATAAAGTTTTTATTGGTATAATTTATTTGCCTTAAACATAGTAAATAGTACTCGATAAATTAAGTTGTCTTTAGGTACGGCGTATATACCGAAGTTACTCTAAATATTTTATTAACAAAAATATTTAATAATAATAAGAAAAATATTTCAACACACTTTTTCTTAATTAATATAAAATCAAGTGATAGTTAAATGAAGATTAATGTTTTGTTATCTATAATTTTCTTATTATTTATGAAGAGAAATAATTCTGATAAGAATTAACACTATAATACATTTGCTTATTTATAAAAAATAAACAAACCTATTTTTAAATCTTCTGTAACTTGTCGTGCAATTAGAGGGATGGGAGGAAAAATTCTTATCGTTTCCTTGATAACTCGGTCCAAATAATGCATATGTTGTAAATCGTCATATTTAATTGGTGCTGATTTTATAGTTTCCGTACCATAAATTTCCAATAATTCTTCCTGTACTTTTTCCTTTTTTAACAATTGCAATTAAATTTTGATTTTATTCTAGTTATAATTAAATTGTTGATATTAATATACATGTTAATCAAGATAATTACATAATTTTAGTAAAAGTTTAGATACACTTTCTTTTTTACTTAAAACAAACTTATTCAAAAACTTTGACTTGATCGAAGTACTAGGCGCGTTTTTGGAGGAACTACCTATATATTAGTTTAGATACTTGAAAATTCTATTAAATTTCTTAATTTTAATGAAACGTTCTACATTGCATATTGCAGATACAAACATTGCATACAAAAATTTTTAAATATCGTTTTATATCCGGTTAACACACGTTAATTAACCTATTATAAGCTTCAGATATTTTTGTAAATATTTATAGGAACCAAAT